ACCCTGTTCCCACACCCCACTTGCATGAGAAGACAAAATGTAATCGATTTCTCCTATCTCTCAGATGCTTTACTTGCACCCCGTTCCCACATGAATGTACTGGTCCGATGAGAATTTATTGAAAACACACGTATGCCCGCCAACTAGTCTTCTAAATTCGAATGAGTTGCGAAGACAAATGAGTTATAATAACGTCCAGAAGTCAGTGTTACGATCCAGGTTCGTCAAAGCTTAATGCGCTGACGTGTACCTAGTCCCTGTGCTGCGATTATGGCCGAACACAGTACTGTCTTACGGTCATCCTACCGTCAAATCAACATTCATAAATATCATGCAAATATCCCGCTGAAGTCGGCGGAGTCGGGCTCAAATATCCATATCATCTTTCGGATCGAACCATAAAAAAGTCTTGCCCCGAATAATTTACCTCAAGCTCTCACATTAATTTCCGAGACACTAAGAAAGCCTAACATTAAGAATTGGGGAACATATATAATAAAATACATATAGGGGACCCTGGGAGACCCACAAAGGACTCGAACCCCTCGCGGCTGCGTCAAGCTGGGTCAGTTGTTTACTAAGACTCTCATCGCTTTCTCTGTGCCTAAAGTGAAACCAGCTCATCCTAACGAGGAGTTGACTATGGTTGACTGACGGCGGCTAACAAGCCAGAAATGGTCATCCCAGTCTCCCCTGTATTTTCAGTGCCCCTTCTCTGGGACCATTGTACCTCATTATTCGGGAATTAGGAATCCCCTTGACCGACGTCTAAGGTTAATAGGGCCCGGCCCTGGTCAAATAGGCCGAAAACTCGAACAAATAACGCCCACATCTCTTTGCGAGTGGAATTGCGAAAGCATTTTCAGCAGTGCATGTGAATCTCGAACTTTCCGGTTGAAATAGCATCTCAAATGCATTTCTTAAGCAGCAGACGATAGGGAGGAGTGTGATGACATCGTAAGTGACTTTACGTCGGGTGCTTTTTAAGCAGTTTATTTTATTCCATGTGATTACTCGCCTGTGAACACATTCCCTTGTTTCATAGCTTAGTCTAATCTTACCCCGATCACATAAAGTTCGTCTTCGTGTTAGCAGGATCGCAACTACGGAAACACATGCCAACGTGAAAGACGTTTACTGGTTGCGAAAACGATAGTCTTTACGCCCATCAGCAAAAACCTGGGATCAGGGCCTGGATTTTGTTCCTGGCTATTTAAACAATACAAAGGTACCGACATTCGATTTGCTGACGTAGTTATGTGCGTGCCCGTGAATGTATCTGGAGACCGAGGAATATGCGTAAGAACCGAAGAAAAACTTATTTTCGATTTTATGGTACGCCTTACATTAACGTATGCGTAAAAACCCTCCGACGGATAACAACTCCTGAGAAGATCTGACGAGCTAGCGATTGTCTGAATCAGCAGATACATGCGTCTTCAACTGGTTGTGAGGCTGTTGCTTCTAATGTTCTCAGAAATTTACTGCTAACCTGGAGTAAGTCAGTTTAAACAAAGGACTATGGACGCAGACCGAAATTGGATATGAATATTTGAACCGACGTCCATCAGCCACAGCGGGATAACCCCAATGAATACTACAAGCTGCCTTCTGGATGTTTGGTGAATGTTGCGCGGTTATCCTACTGTTGCTGGTAGACCTCGGCGCAGATCTCCATATCAGATTTTGATCTGCGTCAATAAACCTCTGTTTAAACTGATTTGCTCTAAGTTAGCGGTTAATTTCTGAGGAAATAAAAAAAAACAACTTAAACTGGGGTATATACCAGAAAGCACACGGGGAATGCTGGACAACCCACTGATGAGCCGAACCTCTCGAGCTGTGCCATGCATTGGCAGAATGTCGGTGAAAAACGTGTCTGAGGTTTTAGCTAGTACCTGTGATGCCAATATGATATCATGCAGTCCCAAAACATAGTACTGGTTATGAGGTGTCAGTAGTGTAGTTTAAGTCTGGTCCCGTCCAGTTAGCCTTGAATTGCTTTTTTCAGATGACCAATTACCTCATTTTCCCCAAAGCCCTCGTTCCACGTGATTTTTTCCGAAATAATTCGGTGATAACACATAACTCTTTACACATTTTGGCCCACATGGAAACTTTATGGTATTCCATACTTGCTCGTTTCGTTTGAAACGGCCCAATGCGTTGATTAAAAATTAAATCGTATGCCGCATATGAAGCCCGTAACCGCTGTATTTGCAGCGGTTTTTGGATTTTTTATTCTGACGAAAGTATCGTGGTTTACTGGGACGCAGTGTATTTATGCGCTGTGAAAAGAATGGGGTGAAATAAATGGGAACATTCAAATTGAGGAATCTAGTTATTATCTAATGCAAAATCAGCTTGAGCTGTCCGGCTATAGAAACTAATTCCGAGTTCAATGGTTCACAGATAAACATAACGTCACCAAGTACGTTCATGATTACAGACGATTTTGTTCAGCGTACTGGATATTTGTCGGGGGATAGTAGTGGTCGCACCTCGTGGCCTGTTGTACGAGGTAGACATTCCGTACTGTCAGGAAGGAGAGGATTCAATCCTTGGACTGGGATTTCTTTGCCTGACGTTTCGGACTGGCGCTGGAGTCCATCATCAGATAAGGAAAGCGAAAAATACAGTATGAATACTGAGCTCCAACAACAATCACTCAAAGAGCCCCAAACGCGGCTGTGTAAGGGCGCCATATTGGCGTGGTTAGAAATATTGCAATAAAGCGGAGAACGAGGTTGCTGAATTGCAGCATCTTCCACAGGTGCTTAGAGCGATTTTGTCATATAGTACATGGAGAGCGAGACGATAGGCCCAATCGCATCGGCTCCAAATTTTTACGAGCAATCTCGCACGTCCAGAATTTCTCTGAGGCCGTCGGCCGCCTTTTTACACTCCTTGGATTTGCAGATGTAGACAGGCTGGAGGCAACTATCTGACGCCAGGCCGTTTGACCAAACGACCCACCACCACGGTAGAAAAGATCCGGTGAGGTTTACCGCGTCTGGTGCAGTTGTCTGAAAAACCGGAAGACTATTCCGGGCGCGGATGGCCAAGCATGCTGCAACAGCGAGGAGGAACGACACCAGGTCCGAAGTCACGGCTCATTCGAGGGTATACGGCCACACATTCAAGCTCGATGAGGCTGAAATTGTCGCGAAAGGTGGCAAGTGAGTGAGCCTCGAACTTCTTGACTCACGGTTTTCCGGCCGTCCATATTTTGTGCTGAGACTTTGCCTGCGAATTGTAATTACGAGGGGCTGCTAAAAAGGGGGAATTACTTCCTGTTGGCAAGTGGGTTGGTAGTGCTGCCATCTGCCGCCTGGGACGTTTACTAGACACTTTTCCTGTCCTTTTGGTCAAGTAGCGTTCATAAGAAACCATCACGGTGGACAGAGATTTTGTTTCATTAGACCACCTCCT